GCTTGTTTTCATAACACTCATTGGAATTTCCCGGTAACTACTTAAGCTTTTAAACGTATCTTTCGTTCATTTTGTAATTAACCGAATAAGGATATTTTAAGACGGCATATTCCACTTGGTATAACCCAACCCAACCCCCAAATTTAACATATTCGTAAAACTCCGATTTTATTATGAACGTATCGAATTACAGCAGTTAATGACAAGGAGCATAATAAAATCATGGTTATTATTGGTCATTAAAAGAATTGAAGCTAAGTAATGATTTAACTGAGTGTTCGTGACGTAATAATGAATTATGTTTGTTTTGTAAGGTTAAGGATCGACATTGTTAACAGATTTCGAAGAATTATCGCTATATTTTCCTTATAATACTTACGTATTATAGAACAGTTGGACGAAAGTGATAAACCTAAGATAGGAAAATATTATCTCTGCTTATATACTACACACTTTATTTTAGGCTTTATTTTACATATGCCTTGGTCTTGAAAGCAGTGATAAAAGGAAACTTTAAGTGAGACGTACTACAAATTTCCGAAATGAATAAGACCAAAAATCTAAAGAAAATTTTACTAAAAAAAATCCACGCGAACCAGGCAGCAGACGGGACTTCAACCCGCACCTTTCCCTGTCCGGGCCAATGCACTGATCATTATGCCACCGCGGCCCTAATGGCCGTGTTGAATTTTCTCTAGCCTTTCTTAAGCTGCAAGGCAGAACCATCTTTTCGCATTGAAGGTAACCCACAATGTCAAATGAATACCTTTACAAGTATGAAACATTTGAAAGAAGAAATAGCAATTATATGTAGTTATATATTTTTATTTTTTAAGCATGTAACCAGGCTGCATACGGGACTCGAACCCAGACCTTTCACTATCCGGGCGAATGCACGTAGAATTTTTTCTAGTATTTTTTTTTTTAATATCTAACAGTTACTTGCTTAAAAAAATAAAAAATATTAATAAACCAGTTTTAAAAATGTTTATGCCATTTCTCAACCTCCGTGAACTAGTGCTTTTTACTCTTCAGTATTCAAGATAATCGTTGATCGCATAAGTAGTTTTTTTTTCTGACTGACGATTCTTGTTTCATATCCTACCGCTATGCCCAACACCAAATTTAATGACACCTAATAATGTACTGGCCCGTTTTTGAGTCTTACTTAAATTGTTGTTGTCAATTGTCCATCGAGAACACAGTATATTCACACTGAAATATGGATTAATTGTTTGTATCTAACAAACTTTTATGCTTAAGGATGCCCGCCCGATATTCAGCCAACACAAAAGCGTTGTTTAAGTATTTAATTCTTTTTTATTTGTATCGACATCTCTCAGTGTGGTTGTTAAACTTAAATCACACTGCCACTATATTACTGATACGAAAAAAGTATTCTTACAGACGAGGTTAAAAAGCCGTTGCATATTAAATAAATTATGCATGTTTCTTAAGTGTTATCTTCAATTTTATCTAAACAGACGACACGTTCGAATTGTGTGCTAAACTTTGGCACATAACGACCGAGAAGGCAATATAAACATAATTGACATAGATATTATACTTTAGTCACTGCGATAATGTCCACGTAACATACTTACTCATCTGAGAACATGTAAACACTGTTAGTTATGTCTAGTTTTATTTTCATATAAGGTATTTGCACCCAAGATGACCCGGCCCGGTTCCTAGGATGGCCCACTTATAAAATTTCGCACTTTCATTACATCCAATGACTTTAAATTTCAGCCCCATATTCGGAAGGTTTTTATTGCAGTGGTTGACAGTTTGTCAGTAACGTTGCAAGTTGCATACGATTTGTATCCTCATCTTTACCTTTATTCAGTAATTATTGAGATAAACATTTGTATTTGTGTTATGTAAATATGTGGACTCTCCTGAGAAGTGAAGCGTTGTTTGAAGTATTCAACAATTTTTATTTAAAAAAAAAGTAATCCTTATTACAGAACAAGGCCTTATAGAACTATAGAATATTATAGTGTCTACCAAGATACATCCCTACTTTTTTCTAATTAGGTATTTTTTGTTTTAAATAAAAAGTTAGTATATTTTTTTGAATTATTTTAAACTTTTTCCTATTTCGGTTCTTGAGATGGAGCCCTGACAGACGGATAGGCAGTGGAGGCTAATCAATAGGGCTCCTTTGTTTATTTTTTAGTACGGAACCCTTAAAAGGTACCAACTTACTTCCGATCTGGTGATATAATCTAACTTATTGCAATCATATATAACCATATAGGAGATCTTACACAATTAACATTCCCTTTAACAATAGACGCTGAATGACTCAAGCTGTAAATTGGTCATATTATCATACATTGCTGTCTGTTTTCGTATACGAACCATATAGGAGCAAACACGCATTTAAAAGCATACTTAAATCGATATAGTTTCCATTGTTAGACCAAAGCTCTATTCGTTAATTTAATCAATGTTAAATAACTACAATTTAAAAAGCTCTTTCAAGGTTTTATGGATATAAATGTTTTGTAATGTTTCAGTAATAGTTCTTACTAAGTTAGTGGCAAGAGTCAATGGTAACAGATTGCTATTTCAGATTCCGAAACCATTTCCATGGTAGAAAGAAAGACTACCTGCAAGTCTACGCAATGATATAGAATAGAACGACAATCATAAATAAAAAATACGAATAGTTCACACGAATTATGACACTTCCGGCATTTAAATATCGAGAATATCGGTTCGTATCATACAAATGAATGTAGATTAAGGATCGTAGTTCGCGTAGGACGACGGACACCATTGACGGATGCTTTTAAGAAAGTTTGCATTTATATTACATTAAGGTTTATAAGATGAAGATTTGAACTAGAGAGATAACATAACAAACAATGTTTTCCGTTCATCCGGAAAACTACTTATTCTCAGGGAAGTGAGTGCGTGACGAGGACCAAACAGCTACATATATGCAGGTACTGGTACGATAAGTATCGACTCTCAGCATCGCATAAATTACGTACTTTATCGTGAAATACAAACACGCCAAACGTCAGCTTTCTTCCATTAAATATACTTATTAAACGTGATATAATGCCACCATCACGTAACTGCAAATAAAGCTGCTCCAGGCATGTATCAAACATTATAGTTCTAAACGAGTGAGCTTAAAAGTTGATGTTTTAATAGCTTTTATGCTAATTCAACCAATCACATTAGAATTATAGTTCCGTAAATTCTCCTATGATAATTGTGGTATGTTTAAAGGACCACTTCTCTCGGCGTTGTGACCGGAGATAGACATTAAAATTCTGTTTGTCACTCCTTAAGTAACGTAGTGAAACTAGTATGTTTATTATTGCAATTGATAAATTGTTGTGACATTTAGTATTACTTGTTATTTATCAGTGTACTTATTGTGATGGATGTTTAACTTAAATTTTAAGAAAAAAAACTTTTTAAACGATAAACTGTCGATCGATATGGAAATATGTTTGTTTTTTATGGGATATGATTATTATAGTTTTGTAGATTATTAATTCAATAAATTTTAACACCTTCGAATACTTACCTAATTAGTTAATACCTTTCGATACGCATACACTACTATTACTAGTACGCATGCAATTATATAAGTAAAATCAATGTTTTTAAATCATCTAAATGATTCGGTTTTACGTAGCAGCACCCCACAGTAGTAGCCTTACCCGTAACAAGCATATGAGCCTGATAGAAGTCCTCACAGTATCTAAACAAGTTTTCGGGCCGTTTTATATTGTTTTATTTTATGTTTTGTACTAAAGACACTTTTGATGTGTGTATTTAGCACTTAGCTTTATACTTACTCTTAGCTTATACAAGCTTTTCGGACAGTTTCCTGGCAAGCATACGACCCTGGAACGTAGGAAAAGCTCTCACAGCATCTATACGAACCTGGGAAAAGACTACATCTGTATCGAAAAGTGCTTTACATCTGTCGTGTAGTATTTTAATTCATGTGTTGTGTTAGTTGTAGGGCTCTCACCCCGACAGCCTGTACCATGTGGCGTAGCACGGCGGGTTACGTGATTTAAGTCTATCTTATTTTAATTCGTGTGTTGTGATTGTTGTAGGGCTCTCACCCCGACAGCCTGTACCGTGTGGCGTCGCACGGCGGGTTACGTGCTTTAAGTCTATCTTATTTTAATTCGTGTGTTGTGATTGTTGTAGGGCTCTCACCCCGACAGCCTGTACCGTGTGGCGTCGCACGGCGGGTTACGTGCTTTAAGTCTATCTTATTTTAATTCGTGTGTTGTGATTGTTATAGGGCTCACACCCCGACAGCCTGGAGCTCTATTTTTTGAATCACTCGCCTGACATAGTATCGTCGAATGCGACATAAGTCACCTTCGACTTTCAAGTCGCATAATACTGATTTTCCGTATTTTTGAATCACTCGTCACCAGTGTTACCTGTTTGATACGAAATACGAAATTTTACTCGTTTCACGCAGAAATATTAAAAACCGGTAATTACTGCTACTCTTTGTCGTTTCATGTAAAGCATGACAATGATAGATTATCGTCGTCTAATAGCACAAAAAAAAATTACAATTATTCTATCATTCGCCTCCACCGTTCGCCATGCAGCGAGTGGTCTCACCCATTCGTTGCACTCGAGCGATTCAAAATACGGAATTATTATGTCGAATGAAATTTAGTAGAAATCGAGCGCTCGACGCAAGACGAGCGATTCAAAAATAGAGCTCCTGTACAGTGTGGCGTCGCACGGCGGGTTACGTGCTTTAAGTCTATCTTATTTTAATTCGTGTTTTGTGATTGTTGTAGGGCTCTCACCCCGACAGCCTGTACCGTGTGGCGTCGCATGGCGGGTTACGTGCTTTAAGTCTATCTTATAGTATTTTAATTTCTGTGTTGTGATTGTTATAGGGCTCTCACTCCGACAGCCTGTAGCGTGTGGCGTCACACGGCGGGTTACGTGCTTTAAGTCTATCTTATAGTATTTTAATTTGTGTGTTGTGTTTGTTGTAGGGTTCTCACCCCGACAGCCTGTACCGCGTGGCGTCGCACGGCGGGTCGGGCGGCGGAAAGGTGGCGCGTGTCCTGCGGGTGTTGCGGTGGCCGACGGCACTGCTGCTCGTCTGCATCTCACTCTCGGTCTTTGTCTACTTCCTCATGCCAGGTAAGACGAGTTTACAACTACCTTTTTTTGGTGTTAAAACAACTATTACTGACTTACTAATCTATCAACGTACAGTTCAAACCACTGAACGGATTGCACTGAAATTTGGCACATGTATATAAGAAAGGATTTTCCAAAACTTAGGATTCCGTTCCGTGAAGGGGTAAAACGGGGTTTCAAAGTTTGTGTGGGAAACTAATATGACCATGCAGACAAAGTCGCGGGCACCCACTTGTTGAGTCATAAAACGTGATGGAAGAGTGGACCCAGCATTGGATAGTAGTCGAGGAAGAAGAAAAAGAAAATAGCATGTTCGCAAATGACATGGCAGTCATTTAAGCCATCTATGTCGTCACTGTAGTGTGTATACGCACGCATATCTACATAATATATTTAAATTAGTCTTGTTTTAAATTTTATTTAAACAAAAACTTAGTTTTTGTCAGTTACTAAATTCCATTTTCAACTTTTATACTCTTTTTAAATAAACACAAGCGAATAACTCAACTCAACTTAATTTAATAGCTAATGCAGCAGAGAATCGAGTTGCTGACGATTCTGCCAAAATATATCAGGGCACAGTATCCGAATTCACACTTTTTTTATTTAAATATTTTTTGGGTGATAATTCGGACACCACCAAATAATTGAAGTTCTTTAGTAAGCAAGTTAGATAAAAAAGTTTGAAAATACAATTTGTATGTAGATTTTAACATTTGTTTTCCTGTGTTAATACTGCTCTGGCTAGCCAACGTCACTGGCCTTGCCGTTCTGAACCAAATTTTAACCAGTCACAGACAAACGGAAATTAAAAACGTAACATGTAACGTTGCATACACAAAAAAAACTGTAAGTATATAAAATAAAAAAGCGTTATCGTCTCTTAAAACCTTTCACTAAAAATTTGGTAATTACGTAATTATTAAACGACAGATATAAACTGATAATATGGTTAACATTTGTAACAAAAGCCACTGCGGAAATTACAAAAAAGATGTAACTGTAAATACCATAAAGACAACAATTGCTGCTGGCTAGCTTACCTATTAATTTACCATCGCCTCCAATTTACCAGGCCTTTCGCCTTTCACAATGTTAAAAGCAAAATAAAAGTCAACCTTCTAGCTATCTTATTCATGTAAGACCAATCTTCGAAGAGAATGATAGTAAATAGTGTTAGATTGTTCTCCTATATAGGCAGTAATTCGAGTATTACTTTTATTACTACAATTTAATTCAACTTACCTATCGCTAAGAATTCAATAGTTTTAGTTGTAGTAAGTTTATTATAATTCAGTCATCAAAATTAACGCAAGGTTTATAATGAGGTGTGGTTTGAAGATTCAAGGGTGACCACATTCGTTCTGTGATTCGGGAAGATAAGCAACTTTCTAAATGGGGGGTCATAAAAAAATTATCAAAATGTATAAACCATATTAAATATTTTCCGTGATTCGTTAGATCACGGTTGCATTTGCAGTCATCAACACCACCAACCAATCCACACTTGGCAATTATGGTGGACGATAGCATATTCTCCTTGCGCCCATGTTCGAAAAATGATTGGGATTTTTTTAACTATATTGGCTCAAGTTTCCTGTCAAAAAACGGGTGCGTTCCGGCCTGGGGTGTCGTGGAATAGGTACGTAACGGCTGGACCTTAGCTTAGCACGTAAACACAGATGCTCGCTTATGGTGCTGTCCGACGGCCTGAGTTGCCGAGGGCGCCCGGGCGTGGCCGCGCCGTGCAGGGTTGCCAAACGTATGAGAATTCTAACGTTTGAGATTTAGCAGTCTTTATACATAATACGAGGTAAACAAAAATCTCCTACACTTTGTGATGGCATAATGAAGCTGTACTTACTGAGTCTATCCTTTCTGGATTGGACATTTATTTACTTTCTGATGTTTATGGGTTTGTGTACATGACACAAACAGTCAACATTGTTCAAATCTCATATCAAAGTGTGCGTCTATTTACACCGTACCATGTATAGAGACTACTAAATCTCAGACGTAAGAGTTCCCATACGTTTGGCGAAACTGCGCGGCGCGGCCGTGCCCTCGACAACACAGGCCGTCGGACAGCAACTTTAAGAAAAAATGTTTTTCTTAACTAAAAATGTACCTACTATTTAGCCAATAGGTAAATCCTAAATTCGTGAGCACGTCAGATCCCGAAATATTATTTCCAATGAGGTCTGTTTTTTACCCGGCTGCGCAATGCAAGAGCGCAAAGCGCGACGCGCAGACAGGGTTATGTGTTTAACAGTCTATATATGTATGTTTGTTCCTATGTGGCACACTAGAGACCAAACGCCTGGACCGATTTTGATGATTCATACATCAATCGATTCGTCTCAATTATGGGAGTGCTACTAAAGATATGATAGTAATCAAAATTCAATATGGAGACAACTGTGCGCCATATTGTGAGAAAGAAAAAAAATAAGTTGCCGAAATATGTCGAGTGGGGTATCATTATCTAGATAATCGAAAATCATGTTTAGGTTTCTTACACCATTTTTCATTTTATATGATTGTTTAGGATCTACAACGATTTAAAGTTGTATATTAACCACTTGCGCTTTTAATTTCAATCTTACGTTTGTATGGATCTTTGTTACTCTTTCACCTAAAAAATACTGAATGGATTTTAATGAAACTCAACAGTAATATAGCTCATAAATGATAATAACATATATATCATAATTTATGTAGTTATTGAGTGAATCGGCCATAATATAACAATAAGTGTCACATAAGACGGAAAAAATCTCCCATCTGCGAGCCATTCTGGCCTGCACTGCAAAAAAAATAAAAGTTACATGAATATAATGTATGGTGGAATTGTATCTCTTATATAGTTCTACAAAAAAGTCCACGACAGCATATATCTATTTTTAATATGTAAGGCATTATAGCTTAAATAGTGAATCAAAAATAAAATATTATTTGAAATAAATTTCCTAAATGCATATTTTGTATAAAAAAAATATTTTTTATCAAAACACATACTTTTTTCGCTTTTAATATTTAAAAATGATAAACTTTGCCTTTTACTGTATGTAATTTCGACAAATATTTAAAATGTTACAACGATGTTACGATGACAAAGTGATAGCGTGTTGTGCTATGCAGGAGTACGATTATACTGCGGGAATGGTGGGAAAAGTGATGAATTTTGGTGTTTATAAACATAGATAAAACCTAGGAGGAAAAGAAAAAAAATGGGCTACTCTCAGTATCTAATCCTATACGAAGTACTTACAATAAAACTGTGATAAAGTTCCTTCTTATTAAATGATGAAAAATATATTATCATAATAGGTATTTATGATTATTGAATTTTAATGAAAAACTCAGAATTTTACAGTTTTTCATTTTTTTAACGATATTACTTAATGTTACAAAAAGGTTTACTTAATATAATGACAAATAACCCATTTTTCGCTAGTAAGTACATACGTATTGGAATCCCTGTATTTATTAATCAGCTCCCGATAATATTGGTTTTGTAATAATTCTGCAAAATTCAAAGTAAATAATGTAGATTTTTATAGGTAAATCATCCCTTTCATCACCCTACGCCTATAAGTATTGCGATGTTGTAGCTAAGAACCAAGTTCCCATCTACTTCTATATGGGAATTCATTATATTCGATTTAGCTATTAGGACACGGAAGCGCAACAAACAAACTCACTTTCGCATCTATAATATTATATTATACTTACTAATGATCCACCCGGGCATTGTACGGGCGAAATTTATTTATCGTGATAAAATATAGCCTATGTCACTCGGACAAAATGTATTTAAATAAAGAAAAATGTAATAATAAATAATGTAGTTTGACAGATTATTTGTTACAAACATACAAATCTTGCCTCTTTATAATATTGTATAGATAGTTAGGATAAGATAAGTATTTCATTGATGAAAAAGATTTAAAAATAAAGTAAGTAATAGGTTTATTTGATTATATTTGTAAAAGTTACTTAGCATTTGTGCTTAACAGTGATACGATATACGGTATTTTTTTAAACAAAAAAAAAATTGGATAATAATTGCCATGATTGCACTACTGGGAGTACTCTTCATTCGAGCTTTACACTACCAATAAAAAAGGGTCGATCACAAAGTCTTTGACCTGTTATATGTGAACGCTTTAAAAGAAAACTACAAAGAGAACTATAAATTGATAATAAATGAGATTGCTATGGTGCTCTACGCATAATAAAATTTTCATAACGTTAGTTATGAAAATTTTATTATGCGCCTTTAGTTAAATTAAATATTATAAACTTTGCTTTGGTGATTGCATAATTATTTAATTTAGTAATCTAAGGCAGTTGCCACCATTGTCCAAAACAACAAACGGGAATTACTGCTTTCTTCAACCTGCGACATAAACGTCATTGATTGGTATTGTATATAGGGTGATTAAAAACATTTGAAGTTAACTTCTGGCATCTACATATTGGGTTTCTGTGTATTATGTAGGTATATCAAATTATGACACTAGGGACTGACACTGCATTTGTGTATATCACAATCTTAGTCGTCCGGCATTAACATGACAATGCAGCCACTACCAATTTTAAATAGTCGACGAATAAAAGTAAATGAATTTTATATTTACTGCTAAACTATTAAAAAAAAACATAAACAAAAGATGACTTTTTGAGTAAGTGCTAGTTTACTAAATTTACATACATTAGAGATATTTATGTAACGACTTGATTTAACTTCACACATTTTTGCGAAAATTGATAGTAGCCTTGACCTCGCTGGTAAAGTCTCTATATGCCTTAATAAATCAATCTTTTAGACCGACGCAAGGTACTTAAAAAGTAGCTTTGTTCCTTATTAACAGAATTATAGACTACTGGACTTGTTTTTTTCTTTTCAGTTTTTATTTGAAGTATAATTAAGCAGTCGGGTTTTTGATTTTTTAAATTTTTATCATATTATATGCAAAAGTATTGTAGCTCCCGCG